TGGCATGATTTGTGTGACGCAAGTCTACCAATTAGTTGTATCTTCGCTGCGGTTTGCACGGTTTACAAAGCATTGTATGCAGAGCCCACCATGAAGTTTTCTGGTCCATGCGTCGGAATGCGACCCCTAATTTGTGCCCTTCGAAAACATTGGCACTCACAAAATTATTTTGTATTATTTAATGTTGTAGCACTAAGGAAAATATGAAATAAATATCAGTCTTGCAAATTTCTATAAATATGTGCTACAAAGAAAGACCGCTGTACGATCACACGGCGGTTACCGCCACATTCTCAGTGTCGTTTCAGCGGTTTCGGGAACCAAAGTCAGTGTTCCGAATGTTGGTAAAAGTCATTGGGGTGTGTAAGCAGGTTGTTAGACAGATTTAATTGAGTGATCATTACTTACTCGGCCGTCGGCACATGTTCATTAATCTGATTGCTTATTACATATAAGAGGCCTTAGTTTGCAATTAACCTGTGCATTTGGAATTTGACTACCGTGTGAATTTGGCTGTGTATTGCTGATTAACGAGAGCATTAAGAATGTTCAGACGATATGGCCAAATTTTAGACTTCAGGCACAACACTAAGTCGGATGCCTTATTACAGCACGCTGCCTGTCGGCTTTGTGGCAATTAGGGTATTTTAGGCTAGGGAACACCGACCACCTACCTACCTGTCGTCTGTCAGAGTATCCAGCCTCACTGTTTAGATCGCAGTAATTAAAACAGATTGTCTCAGCTACATATATTTACCAAGTGCGCATTACAAATAAGACCAGTAACACATATTTGTTAAGAAATATCACAATAAATGGCATTGACATGCAGTTTGACTAAAGGGCTGTTAATATGGGCACGAAAACCCAAGAGTGCAAGAAAATCTATCAGTGTAGAGAAACCACTGTCACTATCTACCATGCATCTCGTTTCGCATCTACCTTAGCAAAGAAATGCCGTGCACCTTGGTCGCTATCCTAAACAAGATCTTCAAATAGAACTTTCAGTGTAATCCAATTTTACAAAGTCGGATTATTTTTAAATAAGACGATAAATGGCAAAGCAAAAAGCAGATTTACACTCGCTGTCCATTTACCAGTAATGTAGTATGTGAGATTTTTGAGATCCATGAAAGCGCAGTCTCCCCTCCGACCGCAGTCCACCTTCCAAAGTACACAAGCCCCATCGATGGCTCGACCAAAGGCGATGGGTGAGGGGAGGTTGGCGAGGAGGCGGATGATCACGAACTGGAGGCCAAGTGCAAGGGAGCGTTGATTGTGTCGCACTGAACGCATTGTGACTATCAGGAGGGGGTTCTGAATCACACCCGTAAGAAAGAGGAGGACAGTAAGGAAGCAGATGAATGGGATCAGGGTCTTACAGCCGGGCGCACACACACCGGCGATGACTTCATCATCGTACACTTGGGGGGCCTGCGTTGGCTGATGGGCAGTACTAAGGTTATCACGCAGCGAAACATTGACGCTGTTTGGACCGGCAGCAAAACTGCTCAAGCAATGGCAGTTATGGTAGACATACTATAAAGGAAGAGGAAGATACAAATAACAACCCTGAGCGATGCGGCGTGCGATGAATTCAAATTAACCATAATAAACACAGTAAAGCCGAGCACAGGTTATGTTTAAACATCACAGGACCCGACATTCTGTGAATTTCCCCATCACACTCTTTATATGGTGACTGGAGCACCATAATTAAACCACTAATTTTGGCGAAGAGTGGCCATCATGCGACTGAAGTATTGAAAAGGTATGAAAAACGAAGGGCGGCTGGATAGTGCCACATTATTTCTAGTAATCGGCATCAAATGTTAATAGGCGAGACGTAGTAAATACCCTTCGATAAGGCGAACCATTGTGCGATGTGTTGTAAGTAGAACAGTAACTGCAAAATTGCTAGAAAGCATTAATAACCATTCCCAAAACTCCTAAGCATAAAAAACCTTGATTTGGTCAGTTGCAAAACTTGGAATGCTGATTCTCTGCGAACATCTACGATAACAAAAAGGAGTTCATGAAACTGCCTCAAGTCTGGCTCCTCTGGCTAAACGTGATCCAGAAGGTGTGATCATTCTCCTATCTTAAAACATAAATTGCGGCGTATCGCAATAATGAAATAGAGAAATGTCAAACCAAGTGTAGTGGTGTTCAAAGGATTTGCATTACAACGAAGTCAAAATTCACGCTTAAAAATCGTAGAAATCTGAACGCTTTTGCATGTTTTCGGTTAAAGGAAACGAAAGAAATGAGATCAGAATTCAAAACTCATTTACATTATTCCGGTTTAGTATAACTACACAAAAAATGTGTTCTGTCCATTTCTAGGCGCACATTAACAAGATAGTGACGTTGATAAATCAAAGGTTATTCCTTTTCGGAAATTGGTCACTTCTTATTACTGTTTCATTGCACACGCTACAA